ATCTACGGGACTTTATCTCTTTGTCATTTCAAACCTGCTAGGATTTCAGTCCCGGCTATCGATTTTAGTGTGTGAACTGAGGGAGAACTGTTCAGAAGTGAAACTTAAGAAGCTGCAGATATACTTGAGATGATAAATCACCTTCAAGAACCCATATCCAGTTGTGGATGGATGCGGCGATTGTGGTTTCGTCACTCATAATGGGCCCTGTTTCAAACTATAAGCCTGTGCACGTGGAGCTTAATGTTGGCAAGTGGAGGCACTGTCTTGAAAAGCACATACATTGTGTAACACACTGACTTCCTTGGCGATCTTTCTGGGAGGAAGGTAATACCTTCGAAAATCGGACTGAGGTACGTGGAAATGCACACAAATGGCGCAAGAAATAATCCCGTACCATGTTCTTTCATGTGGGCAACAAACAGTCAATTATTTTTAACAATGCAGTGCTGAGGACTATGTGCGGCGCAAATTAAAGGAAAATAAGTCTTTTGAGTACAACTGAAGGCTAGTCACACTGCGCTGTCATCAAAGCAAGTCACACCGCAAGAAAGTAAAGACAATCATCTCTTCAGCAGTGATTACAGATCCACGTGTCGTCTGCGTCGCTTTCTACCTTCGACATGGAAGATAAGTCTTGTTTTCCAGTGCGCAATTCAGGAGTGCTCATTCAGCTGTGACGTCATAGCGAATCCCCAGGACTAAACATGTTTCTGTCATCACCTATGAAAGGAATAGTGCAGTTGCTAAGGGAGAGTGTATTCTATATAAAGTATACAAATAAGAAAAAATAATGTCTGATTCGAATTAAGGATTTGCGTCATAACGTTCTTTGTCATCCACAGGCAACATCACTATTATATTAAGAGACTAAGAGAATAATACAGTTTACTGGCTGGCGTCTTTCATAGCAAAACACGTATCCTGGAAGATCGTTCCACTCATCGTAGTTTTAAATTCAGCATTTGCAGACATTGTGAACACGGGCTTTCCATTTTATTAAAACTGAACGACCACGAAATAAATTGTGTTAATTTACGATTTAAAAAGTTTTTAAGCAAGATAGAAATACCTGTTGGCTAATTCTTCAGTGATTTCTGTATTAGCAGCAGTAATTTGAGTAAGGTTTGTGAACTACATTATTTCACTTTAGCACACAGGGTCCTCTAGTTGAGGAAATAGGTTATAGAAAATTCTGCACTAAATATGCTGTTTTCCAGGTTTTTTCTAAAGAATGCAATTGTTGTGATTGTTTTATTGGACACCACAAACTCAGAAACGACTTGTCACCACATCAGTTAATATTGAAGTGAATGAACCTTTTCGACATTGGTATTGTTTCTTATGGGATTGAATTAAAAACAAGCTTTATATTTTTATGCTCAAGCCTATGGAAGATGTTTACCCGCAAAACATGAATCAGTTTCCACATTATTTACTGGTAACGCTTGAAATCATGCCGTCATCTTTACACATAGGTTGGCATTGACGATTTGGAATGCATGTATCCTCAAGAATTAGAATTTACATAAAAATCGCAGGATTGCACTATAAAGATTTGGAATAAGTGTATTCTCAGCATTCATATTTTAATGAGACCGGATAGAGATGCATTTGGAGAATCACGTCCATGAACCTCAGGTCTTCTTTCAGACTGAACATCAATGACCTGGCATTAACCATTCAGAATCAGGACTTCACGCTCTCTGATCTCGCATCGACAAATCATGTTTGACCGGTACCCTTCAATAAATGCTCGGGGCGATTGTTCCTTCTCATAAGCTTCCAAGAACCTCTTCATTCTGATTTCTACATTAATTCTTACACGCTAAATATGTGAATATAGCTCAGGAGGAATACTTGGAAAAATTCTAAAGAAAATAACTCATATTAATGTTTGCCTGGTTTTTTACCCCATGAAAAGTGCATAGATAAAACACCTGACTTGTTTGTCAAATAATTCCATGATGAAAACGGAAAATGTCGAAAAGGTTTACTCACCCCCAAAGGAAAAAAAAATACAGGTTTGAAAGAGTTAGGCCTACAGGCAAGTAGGCTTACAGGTACACCGTGAGAAAAATGTCGTTTGCCAGGAAGTGTTGGTTCGGGAAAAAGCTCGCTCGTAGTCAGAATAAGTATCGTGCTTAATATTTTTTTCAACTTTTCTTTCATTTTCTCAGGCTTTATTATCATGTTCGTGACTCCATTTTGTTACAGACCTATCAACCTTATTCCAGTGGACTCTTTTATTTACGGAAATTAAGTCAACAGATTGCCATTGGCACGGTAGATCGCACGGCCGATGGAACTTGGAGAGAAGACAGTCATGAAAGAGAAGAACATTCAGGTTGAAGGGTTGATGGGAGGAAAACCCAAGATAAATATTGGCCAGAAATCAAGTAATTCGTTAGGGACTGAGAAACCAACCAGCATATGTCTGTCTCAGTAGATTCGAATCCGGATTACACGGATAGAGGGCGGGGACTGAACTGCTGCGCCACCCCGACTACTTCGACCCCTCTGATTATTACCTACTAGACTGGCGCAAATAGCCTAAATTGCTGAAAGCGCCATTAAAACAAACAACCTACAAAACACGTGCGTATTGGTGGCAAACACCTGCTGAGATCTTTTTTTGCGTGATTCTTTAGTTCCACGTTTACTTCAAAATATGCACACACATTACCTTTAAAAGGGTCCTTTTTTCATCTAGCATTTAGAAGTGTGGTGTATATTGTTTTGGCATGTGAAATTCTAACACTCTTATAGTCTTAGTTTAACCCTGCCACTTTTACGGGGAAAAAAATACGGCTCTGAGTTGGAAAGAGCAGACCCTATATGCCAACACTTTTTGCGGCGGTTGTTCGGCATAATCATTTTCCGAGTGAGGGTATTACCAAGAAATGCAAGGCACCGTGAAGCCAAGGCAGAACGTTGCCATGGCGATCGCCATGACAGTTTCGACCACGTCACAAGCGTATAATAATAAAGGGCCGTCGAGGCGCAAAGGGTTGCGGCTGAAAAACCGTCTAGGCACGGTTGCTTGGCAACGGGATCGTTGATTCAGGGGACGCCAGGAACATTGTAATTGTGATGGATGATGTATGCCGTTGTCATCACGTCAGCGATGAGCCGAGCAATGGTGGCCTAAATTAAATATTCTGGGGTGCCCGTTTATAAGTTGACATTGTTCATGAACAGAGAGGCAGTGGCCTGCGATCTGCAGGAAAAGACCTTTTGCGTAACTGGCTACAGTGATTGAAAATCGTTAAATGTTTATGACTCTTTGTGTCAAGAATTCTTGTAAGAAATTTGCTGCTCGAACCACAAGGGCTTGAGAAGAAATGAACAAACAGATGAACCAAGAATTTCGTCTTTAATCGCAACTCCCTTTGTGTGTGAAGTATACTAGCCTTTGGAACGGTAGCATATTAGGTGATTTGGAGATCAGGGTATATGCAAAAGCTGTTGAGGAAAACGTATGGACAAAATTCCAAGAAACTGCGAAAAAGAATACTCTTGTCAATAGTTCAAGTCACAGTGACACGCAGCCAGCCGCAAATGCCACATTTTGTGCTCCGTAAAACCAGACCAAAAATATTTCAACTTTAATAAGAATGTAGCGCAGCTGAAACGACAGAACCGATAATGCACGCCGTTGTACCACAGCACAAAAAGTGGTGATGGCTGACAGCCAAGCCATCATGCCCTTGAACGCCAAGAGGATATTGAAATTCCAAAAAGCCCACATCAGCGCATCGTGCTAGGAGCACGTTAGACCGCGACCGAGACCATCACTACAGCAGTGGTGTCCCTGTCGATTGGGGTTCGGTTTCGCCTAGACGTAATCGACGCCTATTTCTTGGCAGGTTTGATGGATTACTGAGTTGAGTTGCGCACTGCCGCAGTCAAGTCTGCCTGAGGCACAGACGCCATTGGAATACTCGTTGGTGAATTAAAATTCATTTCTCTCGCCACCGTGCGTGTTGACAACAACGTACCGGTATAGGACGCCATATATAATATGTGAGCGGATTCCACAAAAGGAGTCTTAAGACCATATTTTCGGTATTCTGTTTTAGTTTGCACCCTTACTGTTGGTAAATGACGAAACTGGGCAGATTCAGATTTAAAAAAATTTAGAGTACAATATTGATTAACACGGTGCAAGATTCAAAGACTTTTTCGTTCCAAATTTGCTTTGGTGACTCATGTTTATGTATAACTGGGTTACATGTAGGTTGTGTAAAAAAAGTTAAAACGAGCGCTCCCCAAAAAGAATTTTGCCGCTGAATCGTCCAGCATCTTGCACTCTCAAGCATTCGTGGCAACATGGAACTATTAACTGCTCCATGGTGGCAATGAGGCTCAAAATACAAACATTGTCTCAAACAGCTTCATAATAAAGTAGTTACATGGATTCTGTAAATTTCGTTGAAACAAACCAACTGGTACGCGCAGCATAAACCACGTTTAATATCATGTAAAACAGTTTAATAGAAGTTACACGTGTGATTTTATTTCACCTATTCTTGAGCATAAGGTTCAACTCGGGGAGTGTGATTTTTCCCATTTTTGGTGAAGCATATAGCAATTCAGCATGCTCCAAAGTCCATTTTACACATTTTAACCTCATGGTCGGCGGCCGCTGAGCATTATAAGCCAACCACAGAGTAAAACTCAGTCGGCATTCCTGAGAGAAAACAAGACAAATCCGATCCCATCTCAGCTGTCAAACCAAACTCCCATCTCAGCTGTCAAACCAAACTCCCATCTCAGCTGTCAAACCAGTCAAACCACTTTAAAGATTTAACCCCGTTTTTCAATACATTTAAAATTTTAAGCATCAAAAGAAAAAAACACTGATATCTTGCTGAAACCATTTATCAACTTAAAGTCTCCTCCAGAATGTAAGCGGTCTTATTCCACGTCGGTACAGAGCCTGGAAAAGTCAACTGTTTATATACTGATGTTTTCCGTCTTTGTGTCGTTTCTTGCAGGGTTTGGTATGACCTCCCCGACCACTCCGCTGGGGAAAGTGTCTCTTATTATCTACGGCCTTCCCGGCTGCGCAGCCTGCATCCTCTTCTATAACCTGTTCCTAGAGCGCCTGATCACCTTCCTCGCCTTTATCATGAAAAAGTGTCACGAGCGGAAGGTCCGCCGGGAAAAGAACCAGAACGGCCTGCCCAACCTGGCCAGGAGGCCCTCTCAACAGTCCGATGACAACTTGGACAACTGGAAGCCCTCCGTCTATTACGTGCTGTTGTACCTGTGCATTGCCTCAACTATTATCGCCTGCGTGGCCTCCGCCATGTACGCGCCAATCGAGGAATGGGATTACGGGGACAGCATATATTTCTGCTTTGTGGCTTTCAGCACCATTGGCTTCGGGGACTTGGTAACGAGCCAGAAAAAAATGTACGACCAGCAGATCCTTTACCGGTTTGGGAATTTCGTGTTCCTGACGGCTGGTGTGTGCTGTATATACTCGCTGTACAACGTGGTATCCATTGTTATCAAGCAACTCCTGAACTGGGTCCTCAAGAAACTGGAATGTCGCTGCTGCCACCGGAGGAAACCGAGACCGAGGCGCAACGCCATCACGCCTGGCCACTTGCAACGGCAGGTGAACTCGGCCAACAAGCAGCAGCAGCAACAACAACAAGCCAACGGCGTAGACATCACCGACGTGGACAGCAACTACGACAGCGAGACGGACGGACGTCGCATGTCCGGCGAGATGATCAGCATGAAGGACTTTCTGGCCGCCAACAAGGTCTCGTTGGCTGTCATGCAAAAACAGCTTTACGAGACCTCTCAGCACAGGAAACATCACGCGAGCAGCAACGGTGCTTTCGGCCAAGGGGTGGGAGGACTAGCAATGTTAAATAACAAGTTACAGGAGACGGAACGGAGAGACTGACACGTGGACAACGATGGATATCTTTAAGTCGGTTCTCGTGGACGTCATTTCGTAGTATTAGATTACAAAACCAAGACGATTACTTCTGTATTGCACGACTCTACGATCAAACGATTTGTGTACACATTCAGGACGTTTTGTAGAAATGATGGAGTTGTTTTCGTTTTGACGAAGCAAAACGACGAAGAATCGGAAATACAGGAATCTCCGCCTGAAAGCCGAGGACAAACCCTCGAACAACCCCCCTCCAAAAATGCACCCTTTTCCCGTTTGCCTGTTTGGTGAACGCATAGTGTTTGCAGATCAGATGGTCCTCGCTCAGAGACACCGAGAACAAAATACCTGAGTCTCTCCATCAGCAACGACAGTCGAGATGGCATCTGTTGACATTATCTCTCAGACTGGAAAATAATATTTCAGATGACGGAAAATCTATACCCGCATGTCACCCAGATTCAAACCTCTGGGATCATCTCGGTATAAAAAGTAATTTACTGGTTACGGAGAACGTGCTAGAAGCTACGTTTTCCTTCGTGGACGATATTCAGAAAGATGCGGACTAACAAACATCCGGCACCAGTCGATCACCTCTGGTAATGAAAATACATCACTTGCTGTTTGTTTCTTCGAGGACTCGCCCATAACGTGGAATTTCGCAAGATATTCCCTGGCCAAAGTATTGTTTTCATTTCAATCACAGCATCTTCCGTCAAAATTAGTCTCTCAAAGGCCTGTGCGTGTTTAATTTATTATGTGTTTTCTTCACCCTCAAAGTTTGCAGTTAGCAGATTTGTGACCGTTTGCGAAATAAAAAAAAAACAAGCTTAAACGGAATTGCATTGTTTCCGTCATCACGGAACAATTGCCGTGACCTAACTCTTAACACTGAGAGATCCCACCCTCCCGATGAGAGTGCAGGCGAAAGAAACTAAAAATCGGACAGAACATTCAGAAAAGAAATCGGACTTGACGAAAACGCATGCATTCCACTTAAGCTGGTGAGACGCCCAATTGTTCAGTATGCAAAGAACATTCGTGAATATGCCAAAGAGAAGCCTGGCTTGTATAACAAATGACAACGGGCCACTATCCTTAATGCACCGCCAGTGCTCGGTCCTAAAACAGGATTTTGATGCTCCTTAGTGTAGCGCCGAATTCGTGCAACCAGGCAAGACGGATACGCTTTAAAGATACACTTACTGCGAATATTTCTAGAGTTTCTATCGTCGCATACAAAACAGTCCATTTCTCGTTTACTCGGACGACTTTGGATATTCAAATGTTTCTCACAACAGTCCAGTAGACTAAAAGCGACCAGCACTTCTCTGGGCATGACGGCCTCTGTTATGACAAACAACACTAAATATTATATTTCATGCAAGATTGCTAGCTTTTTTGTAGCTGTAATCAAAATTCAAAGTTTTGTAATAAGTGGCCTTAACATTTTTCAAGTTATATATGTATATATCACTCTGTACTATTCTAATCAAAATGTAAATGCCTTTGTAAATCAAGTTGTACTTCTAGGTTGCACTCAAACGTTTCAAGATTAGGACTTAACGTTAGTTTCAGCAGTACACGTACGACAATAATTCTCTCTACAGTACTAAATAATGGTAATGTGAAGAGCTAAATTCACGAGGCCAGGAAAACAAATAAGTGTACGAATCTTATTCTAGACTGGATGGTACAAAAGTGCAGTTCTCTTGAGACTTAAGAAATATTTGATGATTAGATAGCGGAGCTGTAATCACAACTGGTCTTTATGGCCTGTAAGCGAAAAGATGAATCGATAAAAATGGACAGAGAAGGCATAATGTCAATATTTGACGGAACATTTTCGCACGTTTTTGATGTCATAAAAGGGGCTTACAGTGCCCACAAAATGATTCACTACTAGACCTGCTCGTCAGTGAACTTTACCAGAAAATGGAGAATCCAGACTTTGTATATAGCTTCTGTGAAAAAAATGAACATTCTGTCTTATTATTATTATTATTACGATTCCATGGTAAATATTATATCCACGAGTGTATGACACGAATGCGTCGGCTTTCCAACGTTTTTTTTCGGATGTTTCAGTTTCAAAAAGTGTTCCATTTATTTCTTATCGACTTGTAGAATACTCAAGGCAATAGACCTTAACCCTCAAAGAGCCGGGTTATTTTGACCCATCTCACAGTTGAGGGGGGGGGCAGATTCCACCTCCCCCAAGAATTCGGCTGTGCTACGCTCAATTTCTTTGAAACGTGGCATGCGTATACAAACACTCCTTATCATTGTAAAATGTGAAGTTTGAACTCAATCAGATGTATGGTTTTGTTGTTATAGTCATTTGAAGTTCGTGGCTACATTCTTGCTAGTACGTGTGCATTGAGCACCGCAGTGGAGAAAGTATACATTTTTGGCTGACCCGTCTCGGGGAAAAAAGGCGCGCTGCGTGAGAATGGTATGTCTGATGATGTTTGCAATAATGGTGTCAAAATGAATGCAAAGAGTTGCTCTAAAAATTAGCTCAGGCTCAACTTCTGGAAAAAAATTGTATTACGGCGATATCAGAATACAAAAAATATCGGGGTGGGGGTCCGCCCCGGCTCTTTTAGGGTAGAAACATCATGACGTCACGCTTTGCTGGGATGTGCACTTTCCAATGGGGACTATATAGGTCGCGTCCTACCTCACTGCCACAGGAAAGAGAACATGCAAGCAAAGCGTGACGTCATTATGTTATAAGTCTATTACAAAGGACCACCTTTAAATCAGTTTCTCATGAGAGTCATCGGAAAATACGTTTTGCTCTTGCCTTTCACTCTTGGTGAACCAGAAGGCCGACCCGCTAGGAGTATGCTGAAAGTAGCCAAGATTGTTGATGTCTACCAAACATGGGAATAACTCAATTTAGATGAAAGTCAACAAATAGATTATTTCAAGTTAGATTGCGTCTTATCTCAAAGAATAATGCGGGATACTTTGAAAGTTCAAGCAAACTACTATGAATGTTCCATCCAAGATTTCTTGAGTTCGTGTTTTTGAAGCTCATGGGTGTATTTTATTCCACGTGTACAGTAATTATCCTAAATCAAACTCATTGTTCATGGTGTGTGAAATATAGGCGCAAGTGTACAGTACCTCGTGACTTTGTTCGAAACAAATTTTTTTTCACTGAGAGAGAAGTAATAATTATTGAAAGCGTCTTCGTGTATCCACTTCCCAAGATGGTCAGTCACTCTTTGGATAAGTTTTCCGTTACATTCTATTCTGTCCTTTTCTCGCTCTGTTAGAAGGCTCCAAAAATGGATGTTGTATCGCTCTACTTACCAGCATATGTTTGACTGCGCCACATCAAACTACATGCATAGTAAAAGGTTAGGGTTATTAATTACAATTAATAATTCTAATAAATTATCATTAATTCTGTGTCGATGGCTGGAACAGCGCAGCTAGGTAAAGTTGGGTTTGAACTGTTGATTGACAGCTTTGCACTCATGCGCATAACCATCTCAAACTGTTCCTTCAAATTGTTTTCACAAAGTTTCATTTTAACATCTGTATTGGGTGAAAACAACATTAACCTTTGATCCGGCGACTTCACGTTGGTTTTCACGTATTATTCCAAATGGAGGAGTTGTTTTTCATGGCCACAAGATAATACAAAAGACATTGTTTTCCCTTTTTTCCCTTTTTTTTTCTTTTCCAGATCATACAGCATCATGAAACGACGCACGCCTCTCTTACATTATGCACGAAATCAACACTATTTACCCATTCATAGAAAAAGTCGTGCATGGAAATATACTACGATAGTCGGTCTGGTAATGTGACATACAACTAGAATATTTGACGGAACTTGCGTTTTGCCCCCTTGATTTTTTTGCACAACACAAATTTTACTGTACAAAGGTTTCATTATTGAAATGACCACAGAGTGGAAGGTGATAGTTACATGCGTGTATAAGTTAAAAAAAATTACCAACAAACATGCAAATCTGCTATGTTTGGTGTGGCCTCTAAATTATTGGACAATCTGTCTATCAAAACAGGATAAATCCAAAAAACGCCATGCCTCCATTAGATTAGCAAGAGTTGACGCATCATTAAACTAACTCTACCTCTGTGGCCAAAACATAGTAATGCGTTCCGCAACAATAAGTGTGCATAATTATGAAGAGAAAGGACATGTCTGTGCCATTTCCCTCCTTTCATCTTTGACTGTAATATTGCGTTTGCATTTGTGTTGCCTTTGTGGCGATTGTGTGCCTATATGTTCCTTGGCGAAGTAGGAAACTTGAAGTACATTTTTATCAAAGAAAAATATCTATTGTGTTTGCATTTTATAACTTGTAACGTTCCAAATTGTCAAACATAAAAGCAGTTAATCTATTTCGCTGCAGCGCATTCAAAGTTCTGAAACGTCGTTATAAGAATTTAAACAAACAGGGGGATGAGAAACAAACAGACGTAAATGAGGCAAACCTCCGATAACTGTAATAACATTCTCTGAGATCCGATATCGAAATAGCTACCGAAGAACGGAGGATGTGTTTGGCCGCTGGGCACCAGCATTTGCCCAGCTGAGTCTTAAATGCCACTCGCAGCGTTTTTGCAAAATTTCTCAGTGAAATTAAGATCACTGGAACAAGAACACCGTGTTGACCCACCTGTGCCGCCGTCCCTTCATTCTACGCGGCTTTTGCCAGCGCGTGTATTAAACTTTATCAGAAGATTTCCCCCACGCATCGTCGTCATGCTATTAGCGGACGGTGATTGGATCATTAGATTGGATCCTGGCATTACAATCGCGCGCGGATAAAGCAAAATATACTAAGGATTAAGCAAAATATAATAAATAAAAGAAAATCTCTTGATTTCCTACCGCAGTGGGAATATAAACAGACAGAAGCGAGTGTCTTAGAATGAAACGGTTTTTTAATCGAACGCAATGTGTTCTTAATTACATGCATTTTGTTAATTTCAGTTTTTTACTTCCTACGTTTTGATTTTCTTTCCATTAAACCACTAACTATTAAGCCATCATGCATTTCATGGGTTCACTGTCGCCTAGACGTCATACCTATTCGCGCGACGTCTACCTCTATCGTTAGTTTAGAAAAAAATCAAAGCAATTTCATTAATGCCCACGGCTTCTACACGCAGGCTAGGCTTGGGATATAGAAGAACAGTTCTTGAATCACTCATTTTTTCGTTTATCACGTTAACTTTGGTTCCACCTGCAACAGCCATATCTTTAAAAAGTACTCAAAATGGAATTCACATTTAGCATGATGCCAATAAAATTAGGAAGATGTAACTCTGAGGAGTTGGAGGGATAAATCTGTCCATCGTTTTCGTCTGTCATTTAATGACGTTAACACCAACGATTTCAGCCCGAACGAGACGCATCTACAAAATTAACGGCCACAATATGGCCTACAGTAAAGAAACAAAAAAAAAAGAAATATATTACATAAGTAGATAAACAGATAGCAGCGGCATTTTTCTCATTTCTTAAGACTTCTTAAGACGAACAAAAATTAACGGTTAAGGCATAAAACACTCGCGTGTATACATGAAGCCATCAAGTAAAACGCATGTCACTGGCGCTAGAGGTTCCTGCTATAACTTTGAACACAGATTCCATGAGCATTGAAATGAAGTTTTTCGAGAGTGTGTTTAGTGCCTTAGTATAGGTTGTATTTTTAACCTTTCGTCGAATTAATTCCTTTCAACAACTTAAACATGTCCAGCTATGGAATGTGCATCATACTTGTTACACGGAGTTCATTCTCATTTCTTTAGAATTCTCTGCATTTCTGACAGTTTTTCCCCTTCAAAATACTACAATTGAGTGTTTCGTCCATGCAACGCAAACCCACTTCGCATTCTTGAATGAGCCATTTTGATTTTCGGCCTCGACTGTGTATGACTCGGTAATTTAGCACCAGTCCATAGTTTTCAGAGCGTAAACTAAATGGTCATTCAAGCTCCTTTCTCAAAGTAGCGGCTTTATTTATTTATTTTTTTTTTCTTTTTTTCTTTTTCTTTTTTTTAAGAGAGCGCCTTAATTTAACAAAAGATCTAGAATATGAATGCCTAGCGTTCTTACAGGATGATTTCCGTCAAAACCAGAATGCGAGTCAGAATATCAGTCCTTTAGAAATAGCCATGTCAACGTGAACAAAAGTTCCTGATACCAAGGTACGAACGACATGCTCGTCGAAATATAGGTTGCTGAACTTTTGACCCTGTGCTCGACTCATTGTGGATTCAAGGGTCTTATATTTACATTAGTTTAGTTGCTGTTCATGAATGCAGCATAGAGACGTAACTGGCAATCCTTTTCACCTCTCAACCGAAGTTTCATTCGGTAACGCATTCACTTTGTAATACGATCTAATGTAAAGTTTGACAAAAGATAAATATAAAACCTATTTTTGTATTTCTGATCAGTTATTTGCTTGTTCACTGAAACTTCACTGACCCTAGACTTAATTTTCATATTACCGTAATCTTGTAGTTTTTATGTAAACGGTGACTATGGATCTCAAAATGCTGTGGGTTTTAATTTTTTTTTTGCTCTTTAGCGTTCCACAAAAATGAGTCTTGCTTGTCGGTATGAAGTAGGTCCTTAGTTCTGTTCACATGCAGTTATTGGCGCAGGTCCTTGTGGTACACGGACTGTGTAAATATTCACCACAAATTACATTAATCACTGGTATTTTGTAAACATTTCCATGACTTTAGCTGCGTTGGAGTGGGCTGCATTCGAATCGTCTTTTAAAAAACCCAGCTAATTTTAGAAACGGTGTACCCATTGCGTTTCAAGCATTTCTACTAGCATGCATCTGTTTGTTTGTGTACATTCCTCCAACATTGTATTACTTTAAAACTAAGCATATCGGGCAAGATATGTTTGTCAAAAGATATAAATATATATTATATATTATTATCATTACTTCTTGGATTTTCCTCTGAGGGTTCTTAACTAATATTAAAATCTGTAAAAAAGGAAACGAAAAATGATATGCCATAGTGTGTTGTTT